TTTTAAGAAGATAGTAATCTGAGTGTCTACAGGTTAAACAGTCAGAATCGTGATGTATCTCACAGATTCAATCGAACTGCTAATTTAGTACAGTGACGGAAGGAATTTTTCAAGAATTTCTCGCGAATAGTTGTGGTAGCGGCAAGATTCTAGCCACAATAAACATATTTGGACTTTAGTTTACGATTCTCATTTTAATTTTTTCATTGAAAGGCAAACTGATGTCAATGTCGAGTATTGTTATCGGTTATTAATTGCTCAACTTGATAAATATCATGCGGAAATTCGTTATTCAACCGTTCAAATAATTGATCAACTTTTTAATCGTTCCCATCATTTTCGAACACTTTTACTTGATGATTTTAGTTATCTTATTGATAAATGTCTTGGTAATTTTTCACGAATAAATAAGTTTGTCTTGCTTTTTTAATTAACTAAGTATTCAGGATTAAATGTTGATAATCAATTACCACCACCAAATGCAACAGCGAAATTATTAAAACAATTTACAGCAATGTGTATTAAAAAATGGCATGAAAAATTTGGTACAGCTTATAAATTACTTGACATTGGCTATAATTATTTAAAAAATTGTAAACTTCTAAACTTTAATAATATTGATGAACCTATCGGTATCACAGCTCAATTACAACGTGAACAGAACGAAGCTCATCAAATTCGTCTAACACAAAAACTTCAAAATGCTATTCGAGAATTAAATGGTTTGTTTCAAAGTTTTTTATAAAAAAAAAAAATATTTTTTTATTTATAATTCATAGAAACATCAAATGAAATTTATTCTTGTATAGAACAAGCAGAAAATTGTCTTAATTTACTTGTATCTAATAATGATAAAATACCGCTTCCGACAACAACTTCAAAACCAATCCAAGAAATTGATGATAACGAGGATGTTGATGATGATGACGATGATGATGACGATGATTTTATAGATGTTCCACTTGTATCAACAAAGAATAATGATCAAGAACTTCTTCAAGTACTTGGTCTAGGAGCGGCAGGAAAATTAAATATCACAATTAATGTTAATGACAGACCAAAATCATCTTTATTTAATGTAGAAGTAACAGATGATAATCGTACAGTAGTTGAAAATCTTCATGATCTTTATCGACAATTAAATGATGTTTATTTAAATAAAATTCAAGCATGGATGAATATTTTCATTAAAGTTCAACAAAATTCTAATGAACAACAAACAATAGCAGTTATGAAACGAGCAATTGATTTAAAAAATTCAATTCAATCTTGTTTAAAAATGATTGAAAATTATCATTTAGCACCAAAACGAACTATGCCGACACAAAAACCAGGTTCGTTGATAATCAATAGATGTACCGTGGTTCCTAAAATTATTCGATCAGGTTTATTTTTAACTTTTTTCCGCTGCTGTCAAGGCTAGGAATCTTAGAAATCATGATTTGAGTACAGATCTTTATTTCCAACAAGAAATTTTTTTAAAGATAAAAATAATTGCCTATTTTCTGAGGGAAGAGTCCTTGAAAAACATAAAACCAAGTTTTTCACGTGATAGGATTTGCGATCACAATTTTGTTTGAGTCATCCTGAATGATACAACAAACAACTATCTACAAAATGAAATACTTTTCAGCTCTCTACGCTACATGTTTGTATCAAAATCCATCAAATTCATGGAAGGCGCAAAAATGATCTCCTCGTACAGCATAATAGAAAAACCAACTTTTGCGCCTTCCATAAAGTTTTTGTATCTTGATCAAAAAGCGTTTTAGAGAACTATTTACTCTATCATTTTGAATAACTGAACCAGAATTGTGATTGTAAATTCTAGGTTCTGAAAAACTTAAATTCTAGTTTTACAGAGAGCTTTTTCTAAGGAAACTAGGAATTATTTTTTTCTGTAAAAAATTCTTGTTAGAAATAAAATTCTCGACCTAAATCATTAGTTCACTTTTTGTAGAACTCAAAAATATTTTCCAAAAAAACAACAAGTATAGGTTTCAAGTCAAAGTCTTGCAGCTACTTAGCTCCTCTCAATAACAGATGTTAAAACCAAGGTTAAACAGCTATTCTTTTTCCATCAATATTTTCTGCTGAATTGATCACCCATTTATATTTCTTACAAATTTCATATGACCAGCATAAAAATGTGAACTGTCGGAGTTCTAAATTTTGGGAATAATCAATATCAGCATTTCTGAGTTCATTAAGACATATAAGAAAATGCAACAAAAATTTTATTCGAAATGTATATATAAAAAAGACAGCGTTTGTTGTCTGTCAATTATCGTTCGATAAGAACTACCGTCTTATAAAGATTCTACAGTTGGTGTATTTTCTATTAGTATACTGAGGCTAATGAAGTCATGTGAGTTGCACATTTCGATCCCAAAGTGACTGTGCTAACAAGCTGCTTTTTAGCGTTTACGACAGCGGAAAAAATTGAAAAGAAATCTGATCGAATCATTTCGACGACGGTGGTATATTCATCTATGTGAAAAATGTTTGAAATATTTTAGCTCCGACGCCTAAAGTTGCATCTATACCTGTGCCTCAAAGTTCACCTATGGAATCGGTATGTATGATTTTTCTTGAACCGATTCTATTAGCAGACTCACTTGCTTTTATAGAACATTGGTACGTCATAAGAAACTGAATCCAAGAAGAAATAGCAAATCTCAAGACTTTTGAAGCATACTATTTCATATTTGCTGATTTCATTCTTGACATAGACTTTAAAATAGATACCTTTCCTTAATACACTTTAATTTTGAAATCTTTGGATCTTTTGGATAGCAGTTGACTAACAGCTTATGTCGAAAATGCATTAATAATAGTTTCCATGGAGTTTCATCTTCTCTTGAAGACAAAATATCTTTCTTGGATACGTCTGATCTTTATTTTTTTTACATTCTATTATGAATGGAATATAAGTGTTAGTGACCATAGGTTTGTTTGCTACGTTTTTAAAAGATCACTCATTTAATTTTAGGCAACAATACCAACATTAACTGAAGATGAAATAAAATATTTCTTTCATGATGATTCCGAATGTATAAAACGTACTTTTATTCAACATGATGTTCAAAATTTTTTTGTACGTCCTACAGAAAAAAATGATGTGCCTGAGGTAAATAAAAGGTTTGAAATTAACTTCTTTGAATGATTTTTTTACTAGAGTTTAAATTATTCTATATTAATGCGTAAACGTACATTTGTCAATGAATTACCGGCCATTAAATGGAAATGTCGAGCCCCATTAGGTAATGGTAAATTATGTGAACGTATGGATCGATATAAATGTCCGTTTCATGGTCGAATTATTGCTCGTAATGAACAAGGCCAAGCCGTTGATGAAAAAATTCGAATTCAAGAAGAAGAACAACTTGCAAAAAAACGTACTACTCCTGAGTGGCAAGATCCTGAAATGTTAGAAGATATTCGTTTAGCAACTGGTATTGATTTACGGATGAATGAAGAAAATAAAAAGAAGAAAAAAAAGAAAAAAGAATCTGGTTTAACTGAACTTGGTATCGAAGAAAATACAGTACGGAAACGATTAGAAAAGAAATTATTTAATCGGTATACATAAAAGAAAATTCAATTATTTTAGTATTGTTTTTTATTTGTTTAGCTCATCACTTAAACGTATTGGTGCAGCATTAGATCGTGATGAACGACGTCGAAATGAAGAGAAATTTCATCATCAATTTAACTATGCTTGTAATAATTAAAAAAATTATATTTCCTTTTTTTCTTTGTTTTATTTTTTTCTCTGTAAATAATTAAAATTAAAGAGGTCCGAGTGTATAAATATCATTATACCATCCATTATCATACCATCCACCAAATAGCCACATATAACCATTATATAAAACTGCACTATGTCCTTCACGAGCTGCTGGTACATTTGATTCTAGTTTTAATTGTTTCCATTGATTTGTTTGAAGATTAAGAACAAATAATTCATTACTTCGTTGTATACCAACATAACCACCGAACATATAGAGATTTGCTCCCGATAATATACATGTATGACGACCACGTTTAGCTGGAATAACACGTGAATCATCACTATATTTTAATTCTGTCCATTCTAATGTACGAAAATCAAATGAATGACAATCATTAAATTTTCCACAACCTAAACCACATACTATATATAAACGATCGTTATAAATATGTGCACCACCATACGAACTACGACGTGGTGGTGGATTTCGTTGATTAACAACAGACCATTGATTTGTTTTAAACGAAAAACGATACATATCATTAAATTTATTATCGCCAATACCACCAAATAGATACATATAATTTTGATAAATAGCAACAGAATGTGCACTACGTGCACGGGGTGGATTTGAACAAGGAACAACTTCCCATTCATTTCGATCAAATATATATCGATACATGTCATTCAATTTACCTGAAGAATCCCAACCACCAAAAATATACATCATAGTTTGATATATACAAGCACTATGTTTACATCGTTTTGATGGAACTTTTGATTCATCAATAGGTTTTATTTCACTCCATGTACGAGATTCAAAATCAAATTTAAATAGATCATTAAAACGATATTCACCTAAACCACCAAAGATATACATAGAACCATTATAAACAACAGCACTATGTCCACTACGTGCTTGTGGTGGAGAATTTATTATTTCAATTCGAGACCATGCAAGAGATTCATTCGTCGTCGACATCACTTTTTAAAAAAAATTCCTTTTTTTACTGCTTATTACACTTTGTTTTCTTGGTTCACTATGATTCATTAAAAAACTTCGAGTGCTTGGTTGTGAAAGAACAGTAGAAAAAAAAAACAAGTATGTGCTGTAACGATCATTCATTTAAATTTCTTCGTTCTTTTATTCATGCATTCGTTAGCAAAAAGAATCGGACGGATGCTGCAATGTCAGTCAATGCTTAAGTATATTTTTTTTAATAATAGCATTCATCTCAAATATATCTCTTTTTTTTGCGCATTTAAGTCAATAAGCATTTTCATCATCCAATGATTTACTACGTATATATGAAAATGAATTATGATTTTCGTTCATAATCAATGACTAAAACAAAAAGAAAATGCCTAATTAAAAAAAACTTCTAAATAGAAATTTTTTCACCATTTTTTCGTCTCTTGCTGGTGGATTTCGTAGATAGAACAACAGAGGTGCATAGCATAAACATATAAGTGAAATAATATAAAGCATAGCACGGAACCCAAATGCATGTACAATAAATCCACTTAAAGCCGGACCTTTTGTATAAATAAAAATTATAAAAATTTCTCTTTCAAAAAAAAAACATCAATGTTTGTACCAATAGCATAACCAAGACAAAATGCAACATCGGCAATAGCATAAACACTTCCATAAACAGATGCATGACGTATATCAACAAGATAACCCATTGTAGGCATCATTGATGAATCAACCATACCAATAGCAAAGCCTAGAAGACCATTAGGAATAATTAAACCATAGATACTTGTAGCCATTGGTACGCCAATCAAAGCAATTGAAATAAGAAATAAACCGATCATACAGCATAGCCAACTGAATTCAAAAGTAAATTTTAGATAAAAAGAATTCTTAAACCTTACCGTCCCATTTTGTGAGCCATTGGTCCGAAAAGATTTGTACCGATTAAATATGAAATTGATGCAGGTAAAAATGCAGCTCCTAGAGTTTTGCTTCTATATACTAAATTTCAATTTAATGAACTATCAAACCTTGTTGGAATTCTGTTGCTCTCATTGTTGACATCATCCATATTGGTAATGAAGGTTCCATCATAGCAATACCAATATTACCAAATGAGATTGCACCTAAATTTTTCAAACAAAGACTTCTATACAAAATATATCTTTTTGTTATTTACCAGCAGCCAAAAGAATATATGGATCTTTAATAAGTGTTTTTAATGAAGCTCCTTCAACAGGTTCACTAGATACGCCAGGTTTCAATACCGTTAATTGCAATACTATCGATTGGAAGAAACAACTATAGAAAATCTTCCGGAAAGAAAATCATTCTTACATCCATCAAATAAACCTAATGTAGCCAATACTAAAAATGGTGATGCTTTGCCTACATATTCATACATAAATCCTCCAAATGGTGGCCCAACTATAATAAACAATTGATTAGTAGTCATCATGCGGATAGCATAACTTACTGAGTACACCGAGGGCTAATCCACCTAAGGCAGTACCCATGGCTTTTCCTCGTTCTTCATCTTCCGGATATCGATCAGCCAACATACCGAGACCTATAAGAAATCTACATAAACTATCTGATAGTTTTTTCCTTTACCTGATACACTTGAGCAAGACGATCCGACACCTTGTATAGCTCGAGCAATGAATAAAAGGCCAAAACTTTTACTAAATGCAAATACTAAAAGAAAAAACATAAACAAACATTTTTTCTTATCATTGAAACCTTTCATAGTATATAGACATACTAAGAGTCGATATAAACATAATAATAAAACCTGAAAACATTGGAATGCTATAGCCAACGCTAAAAATAACAAAATAAAAATTTAATATTCAGTAATATTAGGTTCATTTTTCTTTTACCGGTTTGTTAATGGACCAACAAATGGATTTGTTAACAATTGAACAAAAGCTTTCGATGCAAACATTATACCAACCCATTGATTTTCCTTCGAAGAAGATAAACATTTTTTCTCTTATTTATGTACTTCTATCTATTATCATCAAGTTTACTTTTTCTAAAATAGTGTTTCGTTGTTTATTTTCGATTTCAGTTTTATTCATTGCCCAATCAACAGTCCAATTACAATATGTTTCAAGAAATTGCTGAAATGCAGATGGATTTCGAGCAAAATAATTTCGTCGTAGTATTATTCCATTATTTGAGCAATTTTTTGCTAAAAATTTATAAATATCATTATTGTAGATTTTTGGTTGTTGAAGATGATAAAGATAATCAGGAACTATAGGAACTGAAGTTACAAAAAGAAAACAAAATATAGAAATTATATTTCAATAAGATTTATATTCAACTTGCCAACAGTTGTTAGAAGCATATTGTCTAGAAATAAAGCGACAAATACAATGAATAAAATAAGTACACGAGATGAACGCCATTTTTGCCAGAAGTCTTTTACTGATTGAAGACGTAGATGGTCCATTGCTTTTTATTTTTAACTAAAGATAAAAAAATCGTCGTAATGATAAAGATTCCGATTGATCTCGTTTTTTTTTCTAATATATTATTCTAGATCAGAAGCTTTAAAACAAAAGCTAATAATATAGAACAAAATATATTCAAGTGGTTTTAATATATAGATAAAGAATGAGAATAAAAAAAAGAGAAAATAGCGGAAAATAGAAAATCCCTATTGATGAGTATTTTATTTGAAACTTTATATTTTTTTCTTGTAATCGATAGATGAACTTCCAGTAAGGCCATAAATCTTATTTAAGTTACAGTAGACGGCAGCTCTTTTTCTTTCTTTTTTTCTCCGCCAAAAATGCCGTTCAATGTGTTTATCGATATAATTGCTTGTCTTTGTTCTCTGCTACATTCATAAACCATCATAATCATACATTAACATTCAATCATTCTTTTGTTTCAATCTATGATTATGTATATATGAATTCATTGCAAGAAAAAACTATGAAATACAAACCTTAAAACACAAATCAAAAGATAACTAAACGAGTTCACAGAGAAATTCTCAGAGAAATTTTTTTTTTTGATATAATATGTAGTATTAGTAGACAAAGACGTTAATGAATGTCATATATTTTTTTTTGATAATAGAAAATAGGCACAGAGAAGCGAAGAAAGAAAAAATAGTCATCAAGTTTTTCTCTCTTTTTTTCTAAGATTGAGCGGAGACCATAAATGCACATATGTAAAAAGAAATCGTTACAAAAGCATCTGCTCAACATCCTTAACGAAAGAAAAAGAAACGAGTGATTTATTTTTTTTTCATACTCAAAATCTGTTTTCTAATCACGATGTTCGTCAAAAAAAAGAAAAAAGACTATAGAAATAAATGATCTAAATTAACAAATCACGGAATGTCGTTTTCTGTTTCTTTTGTAATCTGATCACAAATATGTCAACTGAATCACTGATATATCAAACAACAATAATAAGAGAACTCTCATGACAACTTTCTTCAATTAGCATATCATAAAAATCAGTCGTCTTCAAAATGACATTGATGATGCATATGTCATGCAAGAGATACGAGATTAATAGACAAAAACGAATATTTTTTCATTAAGTATAATCGAAAAGAAGAACGACATATAATTATGTACAATATAAGGAGAAACTAATTATTATTGTCATGAAATGAATAAGAACACTTGTACCACCACAAATAAATGTTATAAGAAGTGACGGCATTAAATTTGTTGCATTTGTTTTTGATAATAAACTGTATTCATATTTAGACTATAGAAATAAGTTAAAATTTACCGATAATTTCATATGAAAAAAAAAAATAATAATAAACTCACCCAATAAGTAATATATGCTAAATGAGTGATTTGTATTATTGCTAATATGTAAAAAATAGTCCATACTAGCCAATGACGAGATTTATTATTAGCCTAAGTTACAAAAATTCAATTATTATAAAACAACAATAACAGCAACCACGATAAAAAAAGAACCATTTCTTTACCAAAAGTTTTCCCATTAAAAGCCATAAAAAAATAAGTGGAATTCCAATAAATAGTATAAGCATTTGATATCGACCAAAATCTGCTTGACTACGAATATTCAGTGTTAATAAAGAAATCTACAAAATAAAATTTTCTCTTATAATGTTCTCCTATATCTACATACAATTAACATTGAATCGAAGTTTAGAAACCAAGAAAATATTGCTATTCGAGAGCACATGGTTTCTGTTTTAGTATGCATTTGCTTTGAATGTGTTATAAGACCCGTCCATGGTATTAATATAATCAACATAATCAATACAAAACCTAATCGAAGCTAAGAAGAAAACAGCAACGTGATGTCATCAACAATAGTAATTATTTCCTTACAGTAATAATATTAAAATCATCTTTCAAATGATAACGATGATGATCAAATAAAAAACGAATATAAAAATGTACACCAGTATATGCTGATAGAAGTATAACTGTTAAAGTTGTTAAAAGACCATCAGTAAAACCTTGATGAAAAGAGTTGCGACTCTTTTTTTTTGTTGATTTATATTTCATAAAACTTACGATAAAATAAAGCTGTTGCAACCATAGAAAAAATCACACATCCTAACAAAATAATTTTAGATAAATTTAATTTTATATAAACAAACCTGAATGAACAAGAAGTAAAAGACATATAGCAAATTCATTATTATCTCGTTTCATCGTTCGAATTTGTCCAAGTGTAAGAAGAATAATTGGAATCATGGTTATAATTCCTATTAAAACATAGAACCATCTTTGTAACATGAATTTTTTATTCATCAACTTTTCTTGTTCGTCTACGACAGGTTTGTAACTCATATTATTATGAAAATCAAAATACAACAATAACACACAACTTCTTTCTATTCAATCTTAGTGGGTTCATGAACAAATTGATCCTTTCTTTATCTTCATTCATACAAAGTACGTGTCATTCAATACAACATATATATATATATATAATAGAATGTTTAATGGATGAAAGAAAAATATTTCTTTCAATGTCAAATGTTTACTAATTTGAATAACTTCCTTTCGTCGATATGAGAAAGATAATTAGACATTTATGTTTATATTTCTTTAATAGTTATTTTTTTAATGAAAGATTATGCATGCAGCACACAAATGAGAGTAGGTTGAATGTTACTCTGTTATTTTGTTTTTTTGTTTTGAACGACTGTTTTTTGTTGTACACATTTACTCTATTCGATAAAACTGTGAATAGAATAATTATCGACAGTATCAATATAATTTGTCTTAGAGAGCTGTGGGGTACTTCAGACCCAAGTCCGAGTTCAGAATTTTACTTTTTTTCAGATCCAGATTCACATTTTTGTGGGCTCGCAGTTTTCTATTTTGTATAATTTATAATGAAATTAATGACAGTTCGAGGAGCTCATGCATTTATTTAATCTGTTTTCAAAGATAAAAATAAACTGATGCAATGATAATATGCGAGTTATTGATCGTATCATTGACGTTGTCAATTTTGCAAGGATAAATTTGGTGAAGAGAGTTTTAAACGTCAAGTTCAAATTAGTTACTATTAAAACGGCGATAGAAAAAGTACACATATTAGTTTCTTACAGGAAACTCTAGTAAGTCATATTAATATATCAAATGAAAACTCTTACAGAGTATTTTTACACAAATTGTTTAAAGACTAAATCATTGCAACGTATTGATCACAAAAGGGAGGAAATAACAACATCACTGTTCGACTATGAGACTAATGCTGTTAAATTTCGTCGTATAAAAACAACATAAACTAACTCAATATGTAAGGCTGAGAAACGGAAGTATTCGTGACTGATTCAAAATCAGATCTAAGACGTGTACTTCTGATAAAATTTAAGGATTTCGTTTGTAATTCCTATGCCGTTTGAATAACTTTATGCTGAATAGATGCATTTTGTTCTTCTTCTTGACGACTACAAAATGCCCATCTACACATTTCTGATATGAACTCCGTTCAACAGAAAATTGTGTTCAAGTACGGCAAATTACTTGTAATTTTAAGTACTATTTACAATTTTTTCTATTTTGTGTTAAAAGATTGAACGAATAGATGTCCACCACTTTCCATAGCAGATGACAGCAAGCAAATTCAACTTATTGAGTTTGTGTTTCATACAAAATGTGAAGGTATTACTGAAAGCGTACACGAAGCACAATACAAATAGCTATTCCAGCTCTGTTGTAAATGAAATTGAAATTTAAAAAAAATTCCATCGACACACCGTGTTCTTACGTAATTTACTAAAGTGATCATGCACAAAAAGTTTTTTATATCTCAAGATTGATTTACATACAATCAGTCGCATTACTATCACACTAGAGATCATCTCAGGGGAAGAAAAAGACCTACCCTACGTCAACATCTCGTGTGAATTAGACAATGTCACAAGACGCTTGCTCTGCATATAATCTATGCCGTCCTACATGGGTCCTACATATGCAGGAACAAGGCATTTTTTGGGAGGTGTCAGATGTGAAGGATAATATTTGAATCCTACAGGTCATCTCGATCACCTAATTGGTTGTGATTCAATGGAGTTTTGATCTAGTAGTGGAACTAGTCGTGATTTCCCTTAATTATGAATAGCAACTAAAAGAGTATACGTCATAACAACGATTAGTGCATCGGTGGAAAGACTATATAGTAGTGTCCTGCGGGAACGACTTTTTCTGATTCCCATTCCCTAAAAAAGAATTTTTGTTCCCATTTCCACGTTCCCATTCCCATAATTCCCATAAGGTTTTCCAAGGCTCTATTCATCTATGCGAAAGTGTCATTGGCATATATGTTTACCAGTTTCTCGAGACATCACATTTTGCGCATCGCGACGTTGTTACATAGTGCTTCACTTCTTTTCTTTTCCTGTTTTGTTGTTCTTGTTGGCATTGGTTAAGCAGGTGTTCCTTTTCATTAAAAAAGTGTTCCACCGTCTAATTAGGAAATGTATAGTCAACATAGTGTTCATCACATAGAATGTTCCTCTTATAGTAAAGTGTTCCCCTCCCCTCACCCAAATAGAAAATTAAAAAAATTAAAAATAAATATTGAGATTATTATTGATAAGTCATCTATTTTTTGTTGTAAATAACCTTAATATTTATTTATAATTTTTTTTATTTTCTATTTGGGGGAAGGGAGGGAAACACTTTACCGTAAGAGGAATATTCTCTCTATATGATGAACACTATGTTGACTATACATTTTCTTATTCGACGATGGAACACTTTTTTAATGAAAAGGAACACCAGCTTGAATGTATAGTGCATATACGAAGGAACACCTGCTTAACCAATGCCAATATTTGTGATGATTAAATTACGATGTGGTTAAGAACAAATAAATAGTCTATTTTTTGTTGATACACATTTGTTATTTTTCTGTTAATTGTATATGAATAAGAAAAGTTATTGAAAATAAACAGTTATCAGATAGAAATATTTTTATGTGTATTGAAATAAGATAGAAAGAATTTTGGGAACGTCAATTTTTAATTCTGTTCCCATTCCCATGTTCCCATTCCCTAAGTCTAAATGGGAATTCCCATTCCCATTCCAATGGGAATGGGAATGGGAAAATTAGAGAAAAAAGTCGTTCCCACAGGACACTACTATATAGCTTATCTGGATTGATATCTACTCAAAGACAAACACGTTCATCATCAAGTCAAAATGACAACATTATTTATTCATTGTTACGAAAAGTTCAAGAAAAATCTATAAAATGCAAAGCTATCCTTTTCATTGTCCGCCTGTGTTATATAGATTACATTTTGGATCCTATATCTTTATGTTTATTTTAATTAAGTATATTGTTAATAATTTGTGTATCAATAGAAGATCTATGATACTTGACATTATCCCGCATATACAAACAAGTTTTATGTCCTTGTTACTAAAGCAATGAAAAGATTGTTCTACAGCTCGAATTCAGAAGGGTCCTCTGTTTTGCACGACAGGATGACTGAATGCAAACTTTGTGCAGACTGCAGAATTGGACAAAGAAAACTATCCCATGACGTTCTCAAGTGTAAATTGAATTGAACACAGAATAAATTCAAATACTTCTCATAAACATATACAATAAAACAACATATCTGCACCAGCCGAAGATGTCAACAACATTTGTTAGAAGATCTTTCTCAAATGGTTGATTGCGTTCTCGGTAAAAGCCAACAGTGCAAAATATTTTATTCTGTTATTATCTTTATGTCACACATAGTATTTTTATTTTGAATGTCATGAATAGAGAACTTAATAAAATATTTAAAATAGTTCTGAATAATCATGAATAATATTTATTTTGAAAATAAAAGAAACTTTTAAGCATAATATGTAAATAAGAAAAGCTCTTAGCAACATAACACGACATAAAAATGTTAATATTTCGAAGAAACTACTTCATCATTAGTTTTTGATACATCTACTGTCGCATGTCGAGTTTCAACATCTTCTTCAGCATCATCATCAATATATTTTAAAGTTTTATTTAAATTTTCATCTCCTTCTGCAATATTTGATAATTTAATATGTGCTACACATATATGTTTAACTGCATCTATTGGATTAATATCTGATTCCTGTTGATTATTAAATGAAAAATTTGATACTGCTTTTGAATTGGCATTCAATTTTGATGTATGTATTGATTGATTTATATTTGTTGTTGATGTTGTATTAAATGTTGATGCAGTTGATTCGACTCCACTGTCTGTTCTTGCATAAAAACTTTTTTTAAATAAATCAAACTTTTTATCTAATGAATTTTTATCATTCATAAAATTTGATACAAGTTCTCCAACAACAACGACACCTTCATTTAATAAAGCACTATTCTTATATAAATTATCACGTGTTTCATCCAAACGATGTAATAATTCAATACGTAACATTTGAATATCTTGTTTGAGTTCTTCAAAATCACCTTCACGAATTTCTTCTTGTTCTTCACGTTGTTTATTTAAAAGAAAACGTTTTATAACACGATTCACTACTTTACGATAAGTTAATGTTTGATTTATATCAAAAGAACCTTCACGTGCTCGATAATTATTAGCATCACTTAAATTTACATTCGTTATTTGTCTACTAGTTACTGTTGGTATACCATTACGACCCAAATTTGGCGTTCGACGAGCTCCTCCTCCTGTTTGATTTGTTGGCGGTAAGGTATTATTTGTATCATTTGAATGTGATGATTCTCTATTAGAAGCTTTCAATCTTTTTATACAAGAAAACATTCGGCGAAATAAATAATAGACACTTTTTGGTGTTGGAATTATATTAAATGGAACTGGTAATGTTCCACCTAAGATAAAAAAAGAAGAAATAGTAGTAATGATTTACGTTAATTCAAAAAGAAAACAAAACAAAGAATATTATTAACAACTTGGAGATTTATAACTATATTAAATATGAATATAATATGATTAATTATCTGGATTTAGAAATCAGTTTAATGAAATCAACTCTATTTACTTTCTAAATAATAAAATTTTATCCTATTTTTATTTGATTACATTCACTTTTATAACTTTAAGATGGTTATTTTATCTCGAGTTGATTTAAATTATTGAAATGGAGTATAATGATGACGCGAGTTTATTACTGTTTGTATTTTATTCAAATGGATAAATTCTTTATACGAATTCATTTGTACCATTGTGAAATATTCTTAACAAAACATCAACGGTGAAATATAGACGAGC